CGGGGGCGGCAAATGAGGATCCGACGGCGCCTGCTTCCAATAGTAATTATCCTCCTAGCGGGAGGAGCAAAGCGTCGTCGGTTTTGATGCAGCTGGTATCCTGCGGTTCGATTGGGTTTAAAGCCTGCGGGCCCGGCCAGGGAAAGGATCATGGATTTTCTCTAATTTCTCACTACAAGGTGAGGTTGCCACGTGGTGGGGGATCGAATCACGTGGGGAAGGACGCAGAGACGGAAAGCGTAGGGAGCTTGGCGTCCGGGTTTGGGGGAGGGTAAAGTTGGAAGAAAAAGAGTATTTCAGTGGCAGCTTGATAGAGACAAAGAAGGACAAATTTCCAGCTCTGAAGAGATCTTCTTCCTTCAATGCAGATCGGTGAGTTGTTGTAGGGCTATTTTGTAATTTTCGTGTAGAATTTTGTGCAAATGACGTACTTGTTTGTCAGCATTGCTGTTAATTAATTGGTCTTTTTGTTGTTGTAAGTATGAGATGTTTTGTCTTTTAGAGGCTCATGGTTGTGTCTTGGTACCAGCAGTTTTGATTAGTTCTAGGGAAGACATATATTTTGACTTGCATTATATTTATGTACACTCACACTCGCAGCTCACATGCGTGTACATTTTCTCCTTCTTCCCCCATTGGAAATCGAAATTGAAATTGAAAAATTGGAATATATTCCATGGTGGTACAACTTTGTTATTAGCACTTCCAATCAAAAGAAGTGTCTTTGTTCACTTGAGCAAGGAAACTGAAAAGAGTACTCCCTATTGAAGTGAAGTGTTAGCATGTGAAGATTTTGAAATTAATAAGTTTCTTGCTTGCATCTGCAAGATTCTCAGTCAATGAATTGGATTCTCTGAGAGAGCCATTATGAGCCTGCGAGTTGATTTTGCAATCATGCTCTGTTCTGATCTTTCTCACAATTGAATGAATTTCTGTACTGGAAATAAAAGCTCGTTTTCCTTCCATGATCTGGTCTTCGTTATACTAGTATCAACCCGTAGCTGTCACTCATTGCATTTATTCCTCCACACCAATACCAACAAACAGGGTAGCTTCCATTTCTGTACCATGCGAGGAGATTTTATTATTGTTGGAAATTGTCATGGCCTTATCTTCTTTTAAGAGAGAAGAGAACAATCAAGAAAGGTCCCTCATACCTCACTCGGTCCGGACTCCCGCTTCTAAATCCTTTTCACATGGCTTTCTGGGGTTGATCCTTGCTGTCTTGAACACCCCAAAAATTGAATTGTCACTACATATAAATTTTTGCCGGACTGCGTGCTTTTCTGAGGCTAATTGATGCTACTGTCACAGTAAAGAAGAGAGCAACAGACATAAGCTAAAAATCATTTGCAATTAAGTTGGAGGACATGCGACATTCTATGGTTAACTAGCTTCTTAACTGCATAATACTTTGGCCTGCAGGAGCTCTAAATTGGATCTGGGAGGAGTACAAGAAATGGAGGGAAGCAGAGAAAATTGCAAACCAATGAAGCAAAAGGAAAAGGGTACTATTCTATCCCGGAGAAGGGAAAGCAGCCATGACCTCTCTTGCAGTAGTGGCGGTAGCAGTACTACTAGTACCCTCACTTCTTGTGGTCAACATGGTACAGAAGAACCTTAGAATTCAGGAACAGAGCTTTAAACTTGTGCATTTGTAGCTTTTTTTCTGCCTATTATCGGTCCACTCATCATAGTAGGTTGTAAATTTCTTAATTTTAATTTGTGTTCTAGAATAGAATTGACTCGTACTCCTAGATTACTTGGTAGTGGATACCAATTGAAGGCAAAGAAAAATGTGTTACTCCGTGCAGCACAAATCATCAATTCTTTCATAGCATATTGATGTGATAGCTTGAGACAATGAACAAGTTGATAGACCGAGTGTATGTGTTGACTTGCAAGTCACGTCGCGGTCAATTTTGCATATGGGACCGAGTAAATGTGGTGCAAGTTCGTGTAATTAACATAAAGAATGGCGTAACAAATTTTAAAATTATCAATTTACTTCGGAACAGAGTAAAATAAAACTTGTGAGGCCTAGATTCAGGGTGTGCATCGAATTCGAAATCGATAATTCGAAAGTTTGAATTCGAAATTTTGGTATCTGATAATTCGATCGAATTCGATTTCGAATTCACCACCGAATTCAATTTGGAATTCGGTAAATTTCGATTTCACCGAGTTCGGAAAAATTTATATATTATTATATAAATAAAATTTATTATATTATATATAAATTTTATATAATATTATAAATTTATATTATATGTATAAAAATATATTATATATAAAAACGAATTTGAAATCGAAATCGGAATTCGAATTCGGATTTGAAAAACTCCATTACCGAATTCGAACCAAATTCGAAATATATGAATTCGGAAAACCCGAATTCGATTCCGATTTCCGATTTACCGATTTCGAAAATTCCGAATTCAATTCGAATTCGGTAAATCCAAAATTTTCGATTTTGCAGACCCCTACCTAGATCCATTAGACTTGGGGACCCACTTTGAAAATTAAAAGACAGAATAATATAAAAATAAATTTCTAGAACCTCTTCGCTTCAAGAATATTTGTTGTTGGTGACCGGGGCGGGGGGGAATTTGAAGGAGTTCTGAGTTTCAATGGAGTTTCGAAAACTTAAAAATTTTTGCATTGGGAGTGAGCCTACTTTTGACTTTTATTTTTTTTCAGCTTTTGAAAAATAAAAAATAAAAAAAATTCGTCCGGACTTTGACTTCTCATAAACCGATGTTCGACATTGACTCCTTCTGCCCCTGCAATCGGTGAACTCGTTAACGTCAATTAACAACAATGAATTTTCTAATCATAAGACTCGGACCATGGAAAATCACGAATTGTTGAAAATGGGGAGGAAATGAGGTGTGAAAGTTGGAACCGGTCAATGCAACTCGTTATCCAAAATGTTCTTTTCTTTTTTTTTTTTCACCCATTGCTACTATTAGTACTACTGTTTGACTTTCGATACAAATGCCGTTCCAGACATTCAGATTCAGTTCACTCTTCTTTCATTTCATTGCTTCCAAGTTCCAAATATTTCCATACGAGGGTTCAGCATGAAACCCCCCCTCCTCTCCTCAAGCCACCAAAAAAAAATAAAAGGTAAAATATTCAAAATGTAAAGGAAAATAAAAAAAAATAAAGGAGAGAGATAAAGAGAGAAGGATTAAAAAGACAACAGGAAAAAGTAACAAGCATTGCTTAACACATACTGTACCATGAAAGGAACCATAATGGGGTTAAATATGTGTTTCAATCTGGCGCCTTTCTTGGTGTTGGGCTGATATAAATGGGACCTCGACTCAAGCGCGCTTTTCATCCAATGAACCCGCCTCAGAAATTTTTACTAGTCTAACAAAGGTACTTTTCAGTAAATACCAGCATTATTATTCCTGACTCTCTACAAAAACAGTGGTCATACTCTGCATTTTCTGGGTTGGATTCGGCCTTTCTTTTTGGTCTCATTGGTTTTTGGCGAATATTAATGTATTCATTTTCTTTGAATTTGTCCAAGGTATAGTTATGATAGTCTGATAGGACTTACAAGCATTGTTAACATTTCTTTTTCTTTTTTTTTTGTGTTAGGTTCACGAGCAAGGAATTATGTTCCACGTTAATTCGAAATATGCAAAAAAGAGTAATTAATATGTAAGGGCTCGAGATCTAATTGTTTAAGTTTTTTAATCAAAATTAAATTTTTAACTTATATATTGAGTTCTCTTTCTTCCTAACACCTTGCTTTTTCTTTTTTCTGATAAAAGCTTAATATGTTTTTCATCCTAATGTTTTTCCCGATAAGCGCATGTTTTTTAGCCTTTTTGAGATCGCACATGCGTTCAGCGAACCATATTTCAATGGGCTTTGAGTTCCTTTTATTTGGGCCCGCCCAGATAAGTTTAAGTGGGCAATTGGTGCCTTGTCTGCCACCGCCCGTAAATATTCTACAATGAGCTCATCTAATAGCTTCGGGCCTATGATGTAGCGTTCCAAACTATGTTGAGACCGTATTCCAAATCCCGCCTAAAGTTCTGCACTACACCAAACCCAAAACGAATGTATGTAGTTGAGATATGTCACTTGATTCGGTGGTTTATGTTTATTTATGCCATTCATTTGCTACAGTATTGAATTGCTAGTATCATGCAGGCACGTATAATTATGCCGGTCATCTTAATATATAGGTCGAGTCACATGATCAGAGCTTGAATAAAGCTTTCTTCATATAATGAAATCCCAAATTCTAATTCATTGGAAAAGGCTAAGAAAAATCAATGATAACAAGGGGGCAAAAAGGAAAAACAGGTAAAGCATGCTTTAGTGTTTCTTATGAAACATGTGGTTTTATGCTTACTAGTATTTAGCATTTCAGTGGCGGAACAATTTGTGCTGCAATCTTACACTTAGGGTGCGTTTAATAAAATTGAAATCTGAAATTTAAAATCTGAAATCTGAAATTTAAAATCTGAATTCATTAAGTTATTGAATTGTTAAATATTAAATCTAACATATTTGAATTCTGAATCCATTAAGTTATTAAATTGTTAAATATTAAATCTAACATATTTGAATGCATATCACATTTAGTGATAAGTGAATACTATATCACTTAATTTTGAGAACAAATTTTACCTAAGAAATTCAGTGCCACTTAATTAATTCAGATGTTCAATTTTTGGTTACCAAACGATCTGAATATGTTAAGATCTGAATTTATTAAATTTAAGTACTGGACTGGATTATCAAATAAGGCCTTAAACATCAACACTTACCTTTCCCCCACAAAGGTCTTTAAATTGTTGTACTTAAAGCCATAACTGTATTTAAGCAATAGTGGAAGGCATATCTTCAGAAACTGTTGTTCCTTTAGAATACTTGGACCTTAACTACTCCTCTCACAATGTCATTGTAATTTGATATTTCCTAAGACAATTAATTCGTAGAATTCAATTGTTTATGAAAAATGTTTAAGACTCTTGACTAAAAGATCTTTACATTCCACAGGTGATAGTAGAAAGCATAAACCACTTTCACATGCCAGTATTTTAACATCGTAGTAGAAAAGTTCTTTTTTTTTTTTTTTTTTTAGTTTTTCTTCAAAATTTTATAACAAGAACTCATTAGTATATACAGAGTAATCATTTAGTTGAACTATACAACGGCTGCTTTCCGGAGGCTTACAAGCAACATGAAATCACCGCAATTATGTCTTCTTCTGGGGACTGTCTCCAGCCCGTCCTTCATCAACTACAAAGCAAATACAGGCAAATAAGTAAATAGCGTTTTGCTAATTGGCAATCCCAGCTAGATGGACTATATGAACACCAAATTCGAATATTAGATTTGCCCAGAATGATGCATATTTGTCATTTCTTTAGATTTTACATGGATCTAATATGAGAAACTGCAGGGTTGTTCTTTTAAACCCATAGGGTTTTGATACAATGGTATTACCATACCGTCGAATATTGAGTGCGACCATCAAGGATTTGAGGTACCAGTACTTCGATTTTGAGAATAATGGTTAGTCCATGTTAGTTGGATGGCATGCTTTCAAGATAGAAACAAAATGTGAGCAACATAATGCCTACTGACCAGATCATTGACTCACCGGATGCTGAGGTTGTGAACCAAACCCTTATGTGACAATAAATGTAGCATAAATTACAAAAAATTGGGCATCTAAACACAGCAAAATACCTTGGTTTACCACTATTTGGTGTGCTGTGATTCTCCACATTCAGGCTAACCTGAATCTTTCATTCCACTGCTGCTTTACGGAAACCGGAATCTTGATATTGAAGATAAATGGGTTCCACACGTCCCCTTGAGGACTGGCAAGAACCCAATTTACCTTCACTGGTACACTAACAAGTGACGAAGTTTGAGTTTTGCTTCTAGCACACTGTTTCTTACATGAAATGGAGTTCTTCAATCATGAAAGAAAGCAATGGTCAGCTAACTCGAGCAATATGACAGATTCTCAAAATTTAAAGCCTGACCTTGAGCTTATAAAAGAAGCACTTACCTTTACAAGACGGCCCAGTTTAAATGCCTTGGAGAGTGGTCTATTCATCTCCTTAATCTCCGCAAGAGCAGCAGATAATGGAATATCTTCTTTTAGTTCGGCTATGTACCTCTTAGCACCTATGCAGGATCGAAACTTTCGCCACTTCCTGGTTCGTAGTAATACTGCACAATATAAATGTAATTACATATGTAGTAATACAGCACCATGAAGTTTTTTAACTTGTTATGAGCTTTAGCTTACAAAATTTTCCAAGACATGCATTTTTCAAGAGCTTTTGACTCCTAAAAGACTGACACAACCTAATTCTTCTCAAGTAAAACTGGATTGTTCCTTGAAAAAAAAAAACCTAAAGAACAGAAACAAAAGGAATTTTGGCTTAATGGAAAAAAGAAGGAGAACCTTGTCCGTTTGGGAGTCATTTTTCCGAGGAACCTCCTCAACAACCCAACCATCTGGAAGATCATAGGGTGACATGGCCGCAGTTTCTCTAGAAGCCGCAATTGCTAAGTGATTTCCACTCAATGGCTCTTCATTAAGTCTCATCATCTGGGGGAAAAACAATTAAATATGAAAATTATTATCTGAAAGAAAAGTTCTTCATCTGCATCCTGCAGTCCATCTAACATCAGTAGTGCATTTTAAATTCCCGCATATCTACTTGTAATAACTTACAACAGCACTTCTTGAGACCTATAATAATGATTTACTTTAAATATCTGTCTCCACTTTTTCCTGTTAACCTGTGGATATATTGTACAATGTTGACTCCATAACAATGTTTTCACCATGAAAGATACACCGACAAATGGAAAGAGAATGAAAATATTAGTCACTTCTGTCCCAGCTAAGCCAACAGGTAAAAAGAAAATGAATCTCTGTCCTTCATTTCCACAAGAAAATGGCATTACTGTTATATGAGTTCAATTGGCCGTCATAATCACAAAACTGTGCCTTTGCAAATTAAGTAAACTGGATTACATATGTTGGAAATGACAGCACTCTACAACTAATCTTATTAATTTGTTCTGTAATACAACCCGAAACCCAATCGTTTGACGATAATAAAGTTCAAAATCCAGAGAGTGTACATGATACTAGATGATAACTACTCTCAAGGATAGGGAAGGGGAGCATTTGCAATCAGAACTTAGATGCACAAACAAAACTCCCATGTCTAATGCAGCAAAATTCTCTGCGTTAACCACACACAGACTTTTTGAATAGTGAGAGATATTAGACCATGGTCAGATACTACCACAATGAAAAAAGTTTGCGCCCTCATTTAAAATTGCCGGGATTTTGTTTAAACCTATTCCACCACGTCAAGTGTAACATCCAAGTAGAAGTTATGTTCAATGAAAATCTAAATTGAAGCGTACCGTACCTTTCCACCGCAAATAATCATCTTCCTATGCTCAGAACACTGTAATTACAAAACCACATGCAAACCACATATGATTGAGTACAAAAAGGAAAAAAAAAAAATTAAATGACTTTGGAGCTGGAGCAAAGATGCAACTTCTTTAAATAGTGTATTAAGTGAAAAGAAAATAAGTGGTGGGTTGGGAAAACCATGAGAACTTGCCTTGTAGTGATTGTCATGCCACGTCAAAGCCCCGGGTCTTGGAGTATATTCTTCACCATTGACATATCTCTCAATTGCTCTCAAAGATCGGAATTTCAGTCCAGTCCCTGGCTCATAGTAGTACTGCAACAGATCACCACCCAATTAACTAGCAACAGAATACCCAATTTGCCACTAATCGTGCAGCAGAAATTGATCAAACCAACAATAATGACTACATAATAAACATGATACATACTTACCAATAGATTAATGACTACTTATCGTGACTCATGAGTCATGACTACTTTAATCTTTCTATGATTGCGATTCTAATAATGCAGCAGAAAACTAAAAATCAACACGTCACCATAAAGAAACAAGAAAAAAGAAAAAGCTAGGGGCTTGGATGTTTAAGCGGAACAGTACATTGAAGATTACAGGACCGATGAAGAAAATCAGAAATAATGCATGTAAACGCTAGAAACTCAAACGACAAGAGATTCGAAAAGAAAAACAATGTGGGACCTTGTCAACTCGGGAGTGTTAGAGCGAGGGACCTCTTGGACCCCAGCCATTGGGAGCTGAAATTTTGAATATCTACTAGTGACGGTGGCTGCTGTAGTTGGTGGGTGAATTAACGCCAATTGCGGGCGGCTGGAGTAGTCATCAGCATTAATGTAGTTTGACCTAAGCACCTTCCGCGGCGGTGGCACAACCGTGGAGTCTGACGGTGATGAGGAGGGGGGGGCTTCACTTTCCCATTGTTGTTGCCAGATGGCCTTAACTTCACTACATGCGTGTGTTCGCCACTTAAGACTTGTTTACCAATATCACTAGGATATGCAGCTTTAGTGCCACGGCAATTGCAATTCACAGGGAATTAAGATATGCCAACGCGGCAAAGTCATGCCACTTCCTATCACACACACACAAACAAAGAAGGAAGTTAATCTTACTTCCTATCACACTTATCATTACATGTCGCTAACCATTTTAAGTCGTTTAAATTTACACTTATTATTACACGTGGCTTGCTATTTTAAGTAGTTTAAATTCACACGGGTATAGAGTGCATTCGTCTGATCCGATAGTAATCCAGTTTTCATCGATTTTTTAATAGATGCAGTTGGATTCTGCCTTTTAAAATAGGCTAGAACAAAATTATGCAACTATCTAATCCGATGGTTATTCAATTCCTATCAATTTTTTAATAGGTCCAATTTGTGTAAGGTAGACAAATGAAAAAAAAGAAAAAAGTTATGTGTTCAAATTTTACTATCAATACAAGAAGCATTGGATTGGGTGACTAGGTGGGAAGGATATCCAGAGGGCTATATTTTTGGCATATGATAACAACCGGAGCTGAATTCACTCAAAATTTTTTTTCAGTTTAATGGGAAGCTCTAAAACCTTACAAAGAGGAAAGGAAGAAAGAGAATGATTAAAAGTAGAATTTCAAATGTATCTGTTTACTGCCTCTATCAGTACGTTAGGTGTTTAAGAACTGCAAACATTACACCATGCGAATTTCAATTGTTGTTGGGCGTAAATCGATCCAGCTGCGGCTTTGCGGGTGGAGCTCTTTGAGGGGTCCAAAATGTTCTCTTTTATGAACTGGGCCGACTTTCCGTTCGTCAAGCATTTTACCATCACTCGACCGGGACAGTTTGACTTTTGAGGGACAGTTTCCAAGGACACTTGTCGATTTCCCACTGGGCTGGTTAATGTGCACCTTCGACAAAACCACACTCTGTCTCCTCCTCAACTCAAACGTATGGGAGTGAGACAAGGATTTTTTTTTTTTGGGGGGGGGGGGGGGTTTGGTAGCCCATATTTTTCAAGTCAGAGGAGTAGCCCGCTTTGACGTTTGAACAAGACGACACCATCAAGTGTGGTGGAGAAAGGACCGCTTAGCAGTGGTCCTGTCAATTTGGTGCATTGACTGAGGAAAGGCTGAAATTTGGCATACTTATTTACTCTGCCGGATGTTGGAGATGGAAGTTTAAACTTGAGCAAGAGACAATATTAAATAAAACAATCCATAATTGGCACCACATGTGAAAGTTTTAGCTTATTAGTCAGTCCACAGCTGGAGAATTGGAACTCAACACTAGCAGGTGGTGTCAGAGCGACAATTTTAGTTAATTTAAAGCCTGTTATTTGAAATATTTGCTTTGCAGACGTTCAAATTTGAATTAAAATACTCTTGTTTCAGCCAAAAGACAAAAGAAAACAAAAAATTCAATCATTAAATTGCCAGTCTTGTTTGGATTGATATTTTTTGAAGAAAAATCTTTACGTTTTCTGTGATCATATTTTTCAATCATCTTTTATTTTACATATATCAATTGCTACTGTATATTTTCCTATAAAAAGCGTAGAAAGTGGCAATCCAAATGCAACTAAGCTGTAACATTTTAGCTTAATTTGCCATAGTTGGAGACTTGGAGCTAAGACCAGAGCGACAATTTCGTGGTTTTTCTTTCTTTTTTTTTTAATAAAGAATTCCGCAGTAGTTAATTGAGGCAAAAGATCCATAATTATATGAAAAGTCAGATATCATTATAATGTTGGGAAGATAAATTGGTTGGGTAAGACATTAATTTCATTCCTGTGTACTATCTAATCAAACACGAAATTTCTTGTTTGGTTGCTTGACTAATTGTAAGAAAAAAATTCTATACCAAGTGGCAAACGATTTAAATGATAAAAACAGACTAATGGATAAGCCCATCTCCTTGATTTTAAGCATTCTTATATTTGTGTCTATCGATTAAAAATGTCGTGACACTATGCATTATACTAATTTTCTTGCGCATCAGACGCCACTGCACTATTCACGTGGTGAGTAATCTTCTTTGGTAAGAGTTCAATGAGATCAAGAAGAAATTGAGCGCACTAATCGAACAATGAACTATCGTTCCAAAAATCATGCAGAACATATATGTGTCCGCAAGATGACGGGCGTAGCGTATCTTTTGTACATTACAGCTTGGGAGTTTGTAATTGTAATAATACTAACAAGCAAGCGTGAAGACACAGCCAAAGGCAGAGTTCGGAAATGGGTTCCCATAACTGAATGGTTTATCAGGTAATTAAGAATGCATAAGTTGGAGGGCGCAACGGATCTTTTGTCTCAGTGCCACTTTCTGTCTCACTTTTTATTATATTGTTATTTCTCCTACATAAACATCATGTTTTGGTTCTTTTTATTTTCTTAAAATTCAATAACTATTAATTATGTAAAAATAAATACAACAGTTTAAAAAAAGCAATATATAATAGAAATTAGAAATACAGCAGAAAATTCATTAAAAAAATCTCATTTTTAATTTTTATGCATTTGATTTTTTGAGTTTGTTAATTTTGTGTATAACTCAATTAATAATTATTGAATTTTAAGAAAATAAAAAAGAACTAAAACTAATTTTTATGTAAGAGAATAGTAATATAATAAAAAATAGAACAAAAAGTAACGAGAATATGTGACAAAGATCCTTTTGCGGGTGGAAACCCTCTCCCAAAAAGGCGAAAAAGAAGTCCAAAATGGCCGACTAGGTTTATGGATGCCAATGGACAAAACCCGTTTGGTCGGTTACCAACAAGAGGAAAAAAGTTGCATGCGTTTGGCGAAGAAAACTACTCTCTTGCGGATTGCCAACGTGAGAGACCTTGACCTAACTGGAGTAATTAGTTGGTACTAAACGAAATCTTCTTGAAAAGTTGGAGATTGAAAAACAGGTTTCAAAAGAAGATGATTACGATACAAATGTGGAAGACATGATTTAACAGAGTACTAAACTGCTTTTAACTGGTTTTCTTTTATGTGCAGTGATAGGTTGCAATTTTGTTATTTATTTTATTATTAATTCCCCTATTACCTGACTTGATGTGAATTAATTATTAGATTCTACTCATTTTTCGTAATTTATATTTATTTCAGGAGTAGAACAAAAATATCACAATCAAGGCCAATTTGACAATTATCAAGAAAGAGTTCAAGTACAGGCATCTAGGGACATTTTTGGAATATCAAACCACAACCCTTCTTGGTAATTGGCCCGCAGACAGCATTAAAAGGAGGAGGCCAAAGTCTTCTTTTTCCTCTCTCGGCTGGGCGGCGGAAGCCGCACAGTAGCCATTAGAATAGGAGCAATAGCTTAGCTTTTGATTTCTCATCTTTTAGTTTAGTCTTGTTTTGACTTTTCCCTTGAATTTACTTTTTGGCTTGAGAAACGTACGAATGGCAGGCATTAGCAATTCTTAGCCTTGGACTTTTCTTGTTAGTTTTCCTTTGGCTTTTCTCCACGCAAGTGAGGAGGAAGCAACTTTTTCTTTTAGCTTTGACTTTTCCTCCTTGTACCGCTGGTATGTTTTGCCATACGGATGCTGGGAATAATAAATAGACTCAATTGTAGCTTGCGACTTTCATTTGCGTTCTTACTATTCGACGAATTGCAACTTCCTGAAACGCAGATAATGGCCGCTGTTCCTTTTCAATTTCCGTGGATTTAGTTCATCAAATATGAACTAATTACACCACTCTAGTCAAGGAGCAACGAAGGCTCTGGTTCGCCTAAAAATTGTGAGATCGTTTTAATTTAATCTTTTCTTTTCATTTATTGGTATCCGCATATTTCTTGGTTGCTATGCTTATGGTTATTTAATTAATTGATTGTCTTGGATCCAGATAATTAGTTGATTGGATAATCTATTGTCAATTAGGGCATTAAATCCGTAATTGTTTAATTGCTCTAAAATAGTGGCAACTGGCATAATTAGACTTGTGTCAGGGGAATACGCGGGCTAATCTAAAATAACCCTGGTAGTGCGTTATTTGATTAGAATAGGGCTCCTCTAATACATAAGGCAATTGGGGAATTAAATTCTACGGGCGTACCTAGAATTATTTCTCAATTAGAGCAGTGATTAACGGGCGTACCTTAATCATCGACACAGTAAGGAGGGGTTGACTGTCATCGCTTGTTTGGCAGTTATAACCTATTTATTAGTAAATAATTGGAATTGCCTTTGCTTATCGATGATCAATTAGATGAACCATTGCTGAAGTTATTCCTTAGCTAGATCCTTAATTATCACTCATTTGATTTTAGTAATTTGTTATTTAATTTTTAGTAGTTTCTTAGATTTTATTCGCATTTATTTGATTGTCACTTTCTGCATAAAAACATCCCCCTTGTCACTGTGAACTTGAAAAAAAACAATTACTCCCAGTCTCTGTGGATTCGACCCTGCTCACCGCTATCTACAGAAATTAACTTTAGTTTGAGCAGGTTTTATTATTGCGCAGGCTGACAACCTGTCAATTTTTGGCGCCGTTGCCGGGACTGGCGCTAGTTATTTGTTTCTTTTTAAGCTCATATTGTTTTCATTTTTTTATATAGTTCATGGCTGCTAGCATTCCATATTTTGATGATAGACCGGACTTTGTTCCTGAATGGGGTTATGAGACTCATGTTTTTCCTAATGATCAATGGGTTGTTGCAAATTGTGGAACTTATTTTGACTCAGGTTATTCAACT